ATGATGATGATGATGATGATGATGATGCTGATGAGGATGATGATGAGGATGATGAGGATGATGCTGATGATGATGATGCTGATGATGAGGATGATAATGATGCTGATGATGCTGATGATGATGATGCTGATGAGGATAATGATGATGAGGATGATGATGATGATGAGGATGATGATGATGATGATGATGATGATGATGATGATGATGCCTATGATGATGCTAATGATGATGCTGATGATGATGATGATGCTGATGATGATGATGCTGATGAGGATGATGATGATGATGCTGATGATGAGGATGATAATGATGCCTATGATGATGCTGATGAGGATGATGATGAGGATGATGAGGATGCTGATGATGATGATGCTGATGATGATGATGCTGATGAGGATAATGATGATGAGGATGATGATGATGATGAGGATAATGATGATGATGATGATGCCTATGATGATGCTAATGATGATGCTGATGATGATGATGCTGATGATGATGATGATGATGATGCTGATGAGGATGATGATGATGATGATGATGCCTATGATGATGCTAATGATGATGCTGATGATGATGATGCTGATGATGATGATGCTGATGATGCTGATGATGATGATGAGGATGAGGATGAGGATGATGATGCCTATGATGATGATGATGCCTATGATGATGATGATGCTGATGCTGATGATGATGATGCTGATGATGATGATGCTGATGATGATGATGCTGATGAGGATAATGCTGATGATAATGATGATGATGATGATGATGATGATGCTGATGATGATGATGCTGATGATGATGATGATAATGATGATGATGCTGATGATGATGCTGATGATGATAATGCTGATGAGGAGGATGATGAATTATTTCTCAATAAAAGCTTCAGGATAAAATGAGAGCAGTGTCACTACCCGATCCGTCCTCTGCATGCGCAAACAGAATAATAAGATCCGGATCGCCGAAAAACTACATAATAACTGTACTGAAAATACTTAATTATATACTTAAAACATTAAAGAATGTTAAACTACATTGTATAGAAAATATTGAACTGTTTTCTGGAAGAACTGGATACGTTTTTCCCTCCATTGTACTGCGTGACGTCATCATGGGACGTGCTTCCAGGACGCATCGGGTAGTGACCAGCATCGTCATCATAAATTGTTGCTCCTTCTGTAGCAATGTTTGATTTTTCAATGGTTAATTTTTAGTAATTTAGCTTTTCAGTGTTTTAATTAATCTGGGCTGTGATTGGGCTGCAGGTCGCTCTCTGATTGGTTGAAAACTGTTAGTGACCTCTGATTAAACACAAACACTCAGTGAAGTCCATCTCCAGTCCTGCAGCTTCTAGATGCATCTTTCTCCAACACGTCTGGATGAGATGCATCTGAACCGAACCTTTGCTGAATCTGATGAGGTAGTCCAGGTGTGTTGCAGAGAGGATGGCCACTCTGCAGGACTGGATTGGGACACCCCAGATTTAAAATTCTCTGAACGAACAAACAGCAGGTGGCGCTGCAGCTTCCTGACCTTGGGTGATGGCTCAACTTTTTAACGAGTTAATCTGCTGCAGGTACGCTGAGGCCAACCAATGGGAGGCCTTCCTGGGACTCCATGTGCAGGGTCAGACCAATGAGTGGACAGTCACCCGGAGGATCAAACGGATCATCCCCCATGAGGATTACAACACTTTCAACTTTGATAATGACATTGCCCTGATGGAACTGGACTCCAGCGTGACCCTGAACCAGTACATCTATCCCATCTGTCTGCCGCCTTCCAGCGACGACTTTCCTGCAGGCCAAGAGGCATGGATCACCGGCTGGGGTGCCATGGTGGAAGGAGGTGAGGCCAGGTTAAGCAGAACCTCTGACTGAGACCCAGAGGATGGTTGTAGTTCCAAACTGTCAGGTCTAAGCACCTAAAACATCATACATACATACAGGGAAAGAAAGAAGGCACAGAGACAATT